CCGAGGCCTGAGGGGACGCGTCCACAGAGACAGAGGGGCCTGTGAATGTCTCCCCCAGCGGTGCCCTCCGAGCCGAGTCCAAGGAGAGCGTGTGGCCGCCGGCCGAGGGAGAAAGGCCGCTCGGTGGCGACCAGGGGCCGGCGGACTCTCCGGGGGACCCGGGGGAGGGGCGGTACTGGATGGCGCTGGCAAGGCTGAGCGGGACCCTCCCTCCCGAGCGCCGCCGCGGCGACAGGCCCGTGTTCTGTCCGCTGCAGTAGGACACCGAACGTGAGTGCGCTGCTGTCCCCGGGCACTGGGTGGCACGGTCGCCTCGCACAACCAGCACGGCCTCCGGCCTCGCCGGCCTCCACCCTTCCCCGTGGTGTGAGGACAACGCTCCCGTCGGGGGGTGTCCAAGGGTTGGGGCGACAGCTCGCCCGGTGCCCACGAACAGCGCTGCTCCGTGAGGGGCAGCTCCCTCCCTCTGCGTTCGGGGGAGAAGCGCTCTCTCTCGAGCTCTCAGCAGCCAACTGTCAGGAAACGCTCTGGCAGGACAGCTGTGCTCGGTAAATCTAACGGAAGATGGGGTACCTGGGCTGGAGCTTGGAATGGCAGGACCTGCGCTGACGACACAAAAGCAGAACAGGAAAACAGAAACTTTTGTAGACGCACACAGTGTCCTCCCAGTAAAACGCCCCACGTCTCTGGTGACAAGTGAGCCGCTCACCCTGCAATTAAGCAGCACAAGTCCACTCAACGTGCTCCATGGATGCTCCTTCTGAAAGATGACAGAAGACCCTGAGGTGACCTGGAGGAGCGGGCATGCGAGGAGACCCAGGCCAGGAGCACAGGCGCTGGGGGGCGGAGACGCGGCCCCCACGCGAGAGCGCGCGCTGGGCCTGGACACGTGGTCGTTCGCCCTCCTGCACACGTGTTACCCTTCAGTGAGAAGGCCACACGCGTGCGCACACAGGCAGCGTCGCAGCCGCCAGACGAGAAAGACGGGTCGAGGAACGGGAAGCAAGCCTGCCGCGGGGGGCTGGGACCGTCCGCCGGTGCGCAAGGACGTGTGGGGGTCGCCTGGTGACGTTTGGGGCAGAAAGGAGGTCGGAGGCACCGCCTCTACCCCCCGCAGAGCCGTGGCAAACGCCAAGTCTGGGGCGTTAAAAATGAAGTCAGAATCATGCAGAAACGTGGATGCATCATTTACCTATCAACTTACGTACTGCCCTTAATCTTGGGGAAGGGAAGGCCTTTCTGGAGAGAATCCAAGGCCGATGCCGCCACAAAGGGGGCCACGGATGTGGCGGGTAAACACGTCTGGGAGGCAGGCTGGTGCGGAATGCTAGCGCACGTAAGCTGCGGCTGAAAAACAAAAACAAAGACGTCTGTGCAGCCAAGGACACCGTAAACATCACTGAAAAGAAAGCGGGAGGTATGAATTAGGAAAATGTAAGAGGAGAGAAGTTACCTCGGAGCGAGCTGAAAACTGTAGGACCTACATTAACGACCCAAACTCAACGGAAGTTCTTGAAACCTACGTGGAGGGAGAAGGGAAGGGCAGGAAGAGGCTCAGGAACATGTCAACCGGTCAGGCACGTGGACCTGGTTTGGATCTCAATTCAAATAAGTCACAAGGAACGACAACAGCAACAGAAAAACACCAGTCATGGAAGCACGTGGAAATTTCACCACAGAGACTTCAGAAGGAATTATTGTAAATTTTGTTTGAGGCGTGACAACTGCATTCAGATTATGCCTTTAAAACGTCCCTTTGGGAGGGACGCATGAAATGCGTGCAGGTGAACGGCACAGGGCCTGAGACCGCTCCGCGCTCACGGGCCGGGCCCGGGGGAGGGGGCCGGGGGGCGTGGGGCAGGACAGGGCCCGGCTGCCGCGCAGGGGCCGGGCGAGGGCTGGGCGGCTCCTGGCAGTGCTTGTTCTGCGACTTCGGTGCATGTCGAAAACAATTGAAAAAACCTAACTGGCTCCACCTGGTGTTGGCGAGATGCGAGGGACATGGGCTCTTGCGGCCACCCCCCTCTGACCCCAGAACACGACTTCTAGCATTTTCTCTCATGAATGTCATTAGGAAACTTCATCAAATGTTTATCCAGCGACGTGTGTGAGCACGCAAACGGATGGCGGCACGGCTGAGAGGCACCTGCACGCACATCACCGGACGCGCCGTCGAGCCCGGGAGGTGGGATTCTACGTGGCCGTGTCAGCGGCGCCCGGCTCACACTTCCTGCCGTGGAGACGCGTCTGTGACGCCCCCGTTCAAGGCCTCTGCCGCTGCGTGTGCGTCCACAGGCTGTGTTAGGACACACGTCGAAACGCCAACACGGCTACCCTGAGCGGTGCGGTTACGCATGACTTTTACATTTATATTTCACTCTTACTTGTCCGCAGTTGAAAGTTTTTTCTTTAATAAGCACGGGTTTGAGGTAGCATTTTGACATGTTAAAAACCTGTGGCGGGGGGAAAACTATATTGTTAAAGAAGAAAAAACCATTTCAAGTGAGGTTACTATCGCTTCATTAGCCATTTCCCATGCTTTTGAATATTCTGAGAGTTTTAAAATTGGTTGGCTTAGAAATCATTATAAACTTATTTTTGTGAAATAACAGGTATGTGCTGATATTTTTTTCCCTACACAAAAAACACAGACGTCATAATTAAAGACAAAATTGAAAAGTTATCCGATGGAAACATACACACTAGCCTGGGTCCTCGGGGTGTAAGGAAATGCTTTCTCCTCCTCGTCGGACAAGAAAGCAAAGATGACCCCCTTCCGGCTCCTGACGGGTGTGTCAGCCCCCGGCAGGGGGTTGGCGCGAGGGAAACCTGTGCGCGTTTTGCCCGCTGGCCGCCCCGGGCTGGCACCGGCACCGCCGCCAAGGCCAAGTGGCGGGCGGCGGCTTCCGTGAGGGCGGCCGCCCGCCGTGGGCACCCCCCAGGCCCCCCGGGCGTCCCCCTCCCGCGAGGGCCGGCCAGGCCTGCGCTTCGCAGAGAGAGCAAGGCGCTCACCTACAGCCCTTAACAGCCTCCCCCAACCAGGCGGGCGCCTGGCGTCAGGACGGGCGACAGGAAGCCCCCGCTGCAGGGGCCGCCTCAGAAGTGCGCTTGCCGCTTCCCGGGACTCGGACTCGGGGTGGGGACGCCCAGCAGACACACTCGGCTGCAAATGAAGAGGGACAGCATCCAGGGCAGCGCCCCGCTGGGCCGGGGGGGGCGCTGGGGGGCTGTATTTCTTTTCCTCCCGAATCATCCACAGTCCTCTGTGATGAGCCCGCATTATTTTTATAATCATTTTTAAAGCCATCAGAAACAAGGTTTTACCCAAACGTTCATTTCCCTTGGAGGCTTCGGGCTGCAGGGCTCACCAGGAGGCGGGTGGGCGGGGTGTGGAGGCCACCGAGCAGCTGGGGCCCGAAGGCGGGGGTGGGGGCGCGGGGCTGTGACGGCAGGTCGGGGCGCACAGGCGCCGGTGGTTCTGGAAGCCTCGTCTCCCGGCTTCCTGCTCTATGGCCTACACTGAACTGGCTGGCACTTGAGGCCACAGCTTCCAAGTGCCTGCAACAAGCTTTTCCGCGTCGAGCCCTCTCTTTACAGCCTCCGAACGGCAGGGATTCACGATGAAGCTGCCGGCCCCCAAATCCTGGCCGGCTCCGCGCCCCCTTGGTCCCTGCCAGGCTGCTGCAACGTTCCAGGTCCTTTTGCTTCAGCTCCCGAGGGGCTGTGCAGTAAGACTGGGGACACTGAGTGGCGGCACGGGACATGTCCCCTACAGAAAGCTTTGAGTCACGTGAGTCACGCGCAGGGTGGGGCGCGGGCAGCGGCAAATGGCGCGCCTGCCGCGTCCCGTTGCAGAGATCCTGCCTTGAATCTGGGCTGCTCCTTTCCCCGTGAACGTGGGGGAAAGAAGAGATTCCACACAAAAAGAAACCACGGTGAATATAATAATTTTCATTTCCCTTATAAAAATTAAGATGTATATAAAGAGAGGAACCAACTAAAGGCCTTTGAAAATACACATTTTAAGGCCAAGAATCTCAACCCTTTCTCTCGCCCTCTGTCACTGGGCACGGGCGGCTCCCACATCTGTCACAGCTGCGACCTCACTCAGGTGAGGCGCCTAGTGACCTGGCGCCCTCCAGGGGCTGGGGGCGGGCGTGTCCGCTCCCCCTTCCCCCACCGCCCGCTGTCTGGGGAGCCCACAGCTCGGGCGGCGTTCACGGGTGCCCTCCAGCTCCTGTCTTCTCCCGCCGTCCCTCCACGGCACAGCCCCCTCCGTGACCACACGCGTGACTGCATGTGGTCTGGGCAGAGCGCCGGCCCACATGGGTGCCCCGGGGCTCCAGCCGCCCCTGGCCCTGGAGGGGGGAGACGCTGAGAGCAAGCCCGTCGCCCCTGGTGTCTCTCAGGGCCTTGTCCACAGGTGACCAGGACATCGCGGGGAGCCTTCAGACTCAGGGAAAACGGGGGCAGGCTCCCCCGTCAGGCGACACTGAAAACCCAGGATAAAACGAGAAACGGCCCTTTAACATCAAAGGGGCCTGTGTCTGACCCACTTCCGTTGCAGAATTACACAGAGCAGCTTGGACAAGAGCATTTACTAAAATTCAGTTCAAGGTTACAGAGGACCGAAGTACAAAAATAAGGGTTTCCGTGAAAAAGGAGCACACAGGCAGGTCTGGCGCAGCCGCAAGGCGCGCGGGAAGACCCAGGCGAGGCCGCGGCGGGCTACGGCTCCTTCCGCGGGCCACAGGCGCGCAAGCCTCGCCAGAGATTGGAGACTGAGGTCTTTAAAACTCCTGAAAGGCACAGTCGAGCTCCCTCTCAACCAAGATGCACGGGAAGAAGGCCTGGGAAGTGCCGGCCGTCTGCAGGCGCTCCGGGCATGGCGGCGGCGCCGGGCGGCCTGGACGAGGCACGGGTCCGCGCCCACCTCCATCCGTGGGAGGTTTACGTTCGCTGCCACACGGAGGCTCCCAGCCCGAGCTGCAAGGTCCCTTCTCCGGCTCACATCTTCTAGGGACTCTCGGTGTGGTTGAAATGTCCCTGAAATGATAAAAGAGCGCGTGTAGGCATTAACCTTCGCCGCCTGAGCTCCCCAGCCGCCACCGTGCGCCCAGCGACACGCAGCGCTGCACGCGGAGCACCTGGCCACCTGGAGAGGGAGGCCTCCCCTCGGAGGCACACGCGTGCAGGGCGCACCGCGGGGACTGCGGCTGGCCCGGGCCACCGTGATCGAGCCTGCGTTGTGATAGGACTAACCACTCTGATCTGATGGTTTCCTGGTGCGTGTGAACACTGTTTACACGACACCACAGCCGAGTAAGTGTGTGATAATAGCGCTACATCTAAAAATGCGTGTGTCTTAATTAAAAATACGTTATTGATAAAAATGCCATCCGTCACCTGAGCCTTCAGCGAGTCTGTCCTTTCGCTGGTGCAGGGTCTGACCTCCGACCCGTAACAAACCCGCACCGGCGGCGGCCGGCGCCCCCGTGAGCACAAGGAGGGCTGCCGGCAGCGAGGGAGTCGAGGGCGCCCCCGCGGTGGCCACAAACGCCAGCCCCCCGCCGTCCCCAAGTGCGGGGCCTCGGGTGCGCGGCCAGCGCCGTCCTTTCCTCAGCAGCCCCTGCGGCTCAGCGATTCCCGCCACTCCCTCCGCCGCCTCCGGGCCGAGGGGCCGCTGTCCTCCTCCCGCCGCACGTCCACCCCGCCCGCCACGGCCGTCCCCGACGGCGGTCGCCACGGTTGGCCGGCAGGAGCCCGTGTGTAACGGGGGGTCTCTACGACAAACACCTCTGGGCGCCCGTGCAGATGTCACCAACATTACACGCTTGCCCAGACCCCTCCCTGCCTCTGGGGTCCCCACCGGCAGTGGGCTGTGCCCACAGACAGGGAGCGCAGGACGGGGCTGTTTATGCAGAGACCGGTCACCAAGGGGCAGAGGGGACCTGCAAGGGGCAGTGCTGGGCCGGGCCAAAGGGACGGGGGCAGGACGGCCACTGGGGCCCACGAGGAGGGCGTGTCACGCACCGCTGGCTCCGTGAGAGGAGGCGCAGCGTCTACCAGGGGCACAGCCAAGCACCGCCCTCCGGCTCCGATCTCCTGCCGCTGCCCCCACACCCTGGTGGCCAAGCCCAGAGGGAATCCAGGGGCCCAGGTGTGGACACAGTGTCGGCCTCTGGGGCCGACGAGCAGCGGGTGGAGCAAGGACCAGCGGGGCAGACAGGGGAGGGCGCCAGACAGGGCCGACCGGACAAAGGCTTTTCCTCGGCTGCGCGACCCCGTCCGCAGAGCTCAAGGGGCATATTCCCACCACACAGAGGATATCACCAAAGAGATCGGAAGTTTTTAAAAATTATACAGGGATTCCGAAGTGAAGAGGTACACATAGCTGAAATGAAAAATGTACAAGAAGGCTCAACAGCACTTAAACAGAAAGATGAAACAACCAGTAAACATGTAATCAACTGAGATCATTCAGTTTTAAGAACAGGAAAAAAAAAAGATAAAGAAAAATGAACAGAGCCTCAGGGCCCCGCAAAACAGCATCACATGCATCGAGGAGAGAAGAGAGGGGGAGGGAAGGACCCGTTGGAGAAACAACAGCCAAACACCCCTCACGTTTGGTGAAAACCCAAATCTACACATCCGAGAAGCCCGGTGGCCTCCAACTAAGATAAACCCAAAGAGATTCACACCTAGACCCCAGGATCAAAGCGTCCTGAAACCATCCAGAGAGAAGGGGCACATCGCAGACGAGGGAGCCCGACAACAAGGTTGCGCAGCTGAGGTCTCATCAGCAATACGGAGTCAGAGGGCAGGGAAGCGACGCAGTCACCGTGCCGACGGGAAGCTGTCAACGGAGAGTTCTCCGTTCGGCAGCCTCGCAAGCCCTCCACGGGCGGGGGAGGGATCAAGACACCCCCACACAGACAGAAAGAGAACGCCTGCTGCTGGTCGACCCCCTGCAAGGCCCCCGAAGGGAGCCCTTCGGGCCAAAACTAGAGGACGCTGGACAGCGACTCAACGCCGCGTGAGGGAGTGACGTGAGCGGGACCCCGCTCACCACTTGTCACCGGTGAACGGGCCTGTGCTCACCCCCCACGCCACGGCCTTGGCGAGCGTTAGTTCTAGTAACCTGCCTGAGTTATTTCTTGGATTTCCTATGCATTCCATCATTTGGAAATAACCATTTAATGTTTTCCTCCCGATTCCACACCTACTGTGTCTTTTCTGTTTGTCCTCCTGTGCCGGCTAGGAACCTGAGCGCTCTCAGCGAAGGTGGCGGCGACGAGCGGGCTCGTCCCCCATTCTCCGGCGACCGCAAGGCTCCCGCGGAGGACGGTGCTGCCGGACCCTTATTGGGATAAACCCTCGGATTTCTGGCTTGCTAAGTTTTTCTCACCAATGGGGTCTGCAGGTAACTGAACCCTGTTTTTACGTTTATTAAAATGATTTCTTTTTACCTCGTTTGATGAGACAACGCAGTGTTTTTCTAACGTTGTCGGTCGTGTGTCCCTTCGCGCAGGGTTATGTTCAACCCGCGAAAGCGCCTCGCACGGCCGGCCCACACGCTCCCAGACGCCGTCGCCTCATTGTTCCCCAGATTTCACCCCAAGGCCCTCTAGCGCCCACCGTCCCGAACGAGAGGTCTGCTGCCGGTCAAACTGTTGTTCCTTTGTGGACAGCCAGTCGTTTCTCTCTAGCAGCTGTGCAGATTTTTCTGTCTTTAATGTCCTCCGGTTCCACCACGGAAAGTGTGGACACTCCAGGCCCGAGGGCCACGGCTCCTCAGGCGGCAAAGGACAGGCAGCGCCACGACCAGCGCGCCGGCCCGCCCGCGGCCCGAGGGAGAAACCCCCTGCTCCTGGGCCGCCCCACCCCGCGCCGGCAGGCGTGGATTCCGTTGCCCTGAACGGATGTTTAGCCTTCTCAGGAACACTTTTATTCTTTATTTACTATGTGGAAATATTCTACGTTTAAAATTGCACCTAAATGTTACCCTCACCCACACTATCACTGGTGAGTTTTATTTTTGCTGATTGGATGCTTTAATTTGCACGCCCTTAATTACTAGTGAGGCTGCACACCCACTCATCCTCACTGGCTGACTGGGTTTCCTTTCTCTTGCCAATTCATCTGCTCTGCCCAGCTATTTACCTGCCGCTTCCTATTTTGCATTTTGCAAAGGTTTTCCCTGCTTCATGACATGTTGTTAAATAGTGACGCGGAGTTTTGACATGCAACATGTCTTACTGCAGATAGTCGAATACATTAAACTAAACCCTGTGGGTTTACTACATTTTATAAATCCACCTGACTTCATAAATATCTTCTCCTCTACTTTCTAATGAAAATGTATACGTACTTTTGTTTTGGTTCTGCACATTTGGGCTCTTCCATCCCTCCTCCCAGGCTTTTGCACGAGGCAGGGTCTACTTCACTGTCCCTCACGCTGGGCGGCGCCGCACGGCCGGCCGGACTTGGGGAACGCTGTGCGCCTCCGCCAGCTCGGCAACGGTCTCCTCTGCGGGTACCAGGCTGCCACACGCGTGCGTTTGAGGCCCTTGCTTTTGTTCATTGGCCCACGGGCCAGTTCCCGGGGCCAATAACAGAGCAACTTAATTGTCACAGCTTCGCCATATAGCCCGGCATCACGGGGGATCTCCCTCACCTTGCGCGTCTGCTTTGGAAGGACTGGCTGGCTGTCTTCGGTTCTAGGAGTTGCTCAGCCATTGCCTTTTCAAACCTTCTCAGGGTCCTTCCCTCGGCGGCTCCTTCCCTCTGCATTTCCTCGTCGGCCTCTCCCTCCTCCCTCCGCAGGGGCCTGCCACACCTTCATGCCTTCCATCTCTTGATGTTATTTTGGAAAATTTCTCCAGATCAGTCTTCTAATTCACAAAACCTGTCTTCAACTGAGTCTCACCTGACTTTTTTTCCCTTTAACTTCAACAACTATACCATTCACTTTCAGAAGTTCTTTTTTTTTTTAACCCTCCAATTACTTTTTCTTCATCTGTCTTCTCTCATTATGACTCTATTTCTTCTCCAATCACGTTTAATACTTACCTTTGTGAGCCTCAGTTTCTTTTGTTATTTCAGGCCCTCGGAGGGTTGTATTCTCCTGTTGTCGGAGGCCCTGAGCCCCACCCCACCAGTGGCACAGCCGTGTGCCTTCTCCGCAGCGCGTTTGGCGCCAGGGAAGACCTTCAGGGCTTCCCTGTTTGCGTCTGTTCTTACGTCACTGCTTTGGCTTTTGGGTCTGGGCTGCTCAGATAAAACAAAACTGCAGCCCACACGCGCGCGAGGCCAGTGTTTTAGTTTCTGACCCCCTGTGAGGCGCAGGCAGATCTTGAAGGCTCTGGACCTAACGCAGAGCCCAAATTCTAGCTCCCACGCCCTTGCTGGCCAAAGGCGCATCCATTCCTGGAAAGCAGAACTCTAGCCCCGGCCCTGGGCCCCATCCCAGGCCAAACCCGACGAAGGCCGAGGCGCAAGGACAGCCACAGGGATGGGCTTGCATCCACTGTTCTGGTCCTGTTCTCTCCCTTCACTCAGTGATTAACTGTGTATTCCCACCTTCCCCTGTGGCAGGAGGGGCCGCGTTAGCATTCGCTTCGGCTAACGTGCAAGCCCAACATGCACTTTCCTTAAAGCGCTAACTTCTCTTTTATTCCATTTCACCATCTCCTCATAGACTAACACTTTATTCCTGGAGAAAGAGGTTTTTGTTTTGTTTGTCTCATCAGCTGCAGGCGCTCTCCTCCTCCAGAGCTGAGGAGGGATCCAAATTAGGGAACATGTTTCACTGACACTGTTTTTCTGGCATCCCCCGTCCAGAGGCACATGTACTATCAGAAGCTCAAGCTGAAGGCTTTGTAGGCGAGGCCGCTCAGACGCATCTGTTTTGGGGTTCAGTTTTGCTGCGCTGGCACAGCCGAGGCCTCCCTGCGTCCGGCCTCTCCGGCTGGCCCCGTAGGTCAGAGCGACGCAGCCCTGCATGCAGCCAGGGCAGGGAGCGGGGAGGGCCGGCCGGCGTGGCCTGGCCTCTGCATCCACCTCGGCCTCGCGCCGGCAGGCCCCCCACCGAACCCTCGCGGACCGCCCTGCCCTTACCGCGAGCTCGAGGGGCTGAACCGGTGAACTCCAGGGCCCTGACAGCCGGAGGCAGGTGGGAGGCGCACAGAGCGCCACTCCGTTCTCACACCGCGATCGAGGAAGCCCTGGGGGCGCCTCCTGGCCACGCTTCCTCCTCTCGGGACCGAGTCTGAGGGGTCGACAAGAACTAGCTGTTCCCGGAACGGCCCGCAGAGCGAACCACTCTTCCTTCATCGATCTCTCTCCGCTGGTGCCGGAACATGCGTTTCCCTGACTGGCCTCCGTCCCGGCTGCACCCGGGCCTGCGGCACGGGGCGCAGGCGGGCGCCGGGAAGGGCAGCCTTGCCTCCGCCGGGCCTGGCTCCGCTCCCGCCCCACGGCGGTGTTTCCAGATGCTGCAGGTGTGCGAAGCCATCACCGATGAGACAGACAGGCAAACAGATAAAACAAATACTGTAAAGGTCACCCATTTGGAGATAAGAGAAGTGCCGGAAAATATATATCCATTTAGAGTCAGGGTGCTCACCCTGCTTGCGCCCTTCCTGCGCCCCAACAGGGCACAGCGAGCCCGACGCCCTCCCTTGGCCTCTGCTCCTGCTCCTGCGGCGCCCCTCCCCCTCTGCCAGGCCTGCAGGCAGGCGGCGTGGAAAAGCGAATGTCACCCAGGCTTCTCAGGGCTCCTCCCTGAGTTGCTGCCCTGGGCTCAAGTGAACAGGCTGGTGTCCAAGATCGATTTGTTAGGGACTGGGGGTGGGGGAGCTCATCTGTAATACCAAAAATCACAGTGTCCGTATTGGTTTTCAATTTGGGCAATAAAACCCACTAGCACCAGATAAAGGGGCGCAAAGGAACACCGGTGATGGGCAACAGCAAAGGGCGCGACAGCTGCGGGTCTGCCGCCCGCCCCCCACACCCCGCTGTGACTCACAGCGCGGCTGGCTGCCCGCGCTCCGAAACCCTGCCGCGAGGGGGGCATGGAGGCCAGAGGCCGGTTTAAAACCACAGTCCTTCCCTTTCCCAGGAGAACGTGTCCACTCATCAGAAGACGGAGCCCCATCGAGGTGTTTCCAACCCAGGGAATCTCGCGTGGGATTCACGCTCGCAAAGGCTAAAGGAAAGCCACACAGGGCGGGGCCGGGGGCCCAAAGATCCCCACTTAGGAGGCCCCGCCCTCACACTGGGAGGACCAGCAGGCGCTGGGACCCCGGAGGGAGGCACTGAGAGGCCGCCCCTGGGGAAGGGGTGGGAGCAGCACCCTGGCCGCGGCCCCTCCCACCCTGCACGGGGCCCAGTGCCAGAAACCAGAGCGAGGGGGTCCCGAAGGGCAGTCTCCCCGCCACTGAGCAGGGGAGACGGAGCCGGGAGAGGGTGCTGGGAGGAGCCAGGCCCCTGACTGTCACGCTGACCGCCACCCTGACCCAGGGAAGTCCGAGGGTGGCCCCCTCCCCGAGGGACTCCTGCGTGCGAGTGTCAGAGGCCGGAACCCCCGGAAAACCAGGGGCTGAGAACACGGCGCCTTCACGTCCGCCAGCACGCCGACCTGCTGCTCCCCCTGGTGTTCGGTCTCACAGCGCCACCCTCTTCCATGTACCTTTAGGATTATTCTGGAGAGCCTGGGCAGCCCGGTCAGGTTTCACCTAACGGGTCTGAATTCACAAAGAACGGCGCGGTTCCCACGCCACACCCAGGGCCCTACCAGCAGAGCCAGCCCAAAGGAAGAAGCTGCTCCAGGGCCCGGCCGGCTCTGGAGCCCCTGTGGGCGGAGGGGAAGCCTGCCAGCGACGGCGACCGGGGCCCTGCTCCTGGACCCGCAGCCCAGGACGGCGCAGAGCGGAGCACAGCCGGGCCCGGGGGTCGCGGGGACACCCCAAACGCCCCACCGCAGGAGCTGAGGGTGGCTTCGTTCCAACTGTCAGAAACATGAGCAGGCGGGCTCAGGGTCCAGAGGAGGGGTTTCCAAACAATGACCCGTACCGCGAGGCAAGACGCGACAGCGACAGCGACAGCGACCTCTGTGGGGGACGTACCGGCAAGCACCCGAAAGGCGACCGCTGCCGCGGTGGGCGAGAACGGACTGGACAGGAAGAGGCCGCCGTGGCACCCCGGGAACGAGTCGGGGAAGGCCGATGGGAAAGCCTTGCCTTCCTGAGACACGACGCACGACAAAAATGAGGACGAGCTTAGGAACAGGCGGAGGGGGGGGACCCGGGCGCCAAGCTGAGGCGGCCCCAGGGAATTCAGGGCGGGACGGATCAGTCCGCTGACGCCCGCGGGTCAGACACTCCAGGGAGCTGGGATGTGAAGGGACCGCTGGGGAAGAGCACCAAATAAGCTGAGACGCACACGCAAGATTCCGCTAGGAGTCCCGCACTAGCCACCCCGGGGGGCCGGGGGGCCGCCGCCAGGGCGGGAGGCCCGCGCGCGGAGCGGCGCCTGATGAAGCCGTCTGACACGCGGGGCGCTGCCCGCCGGCGATCTGTGTTAAGCGCCGCTCCCTGGGATCCGCGGCGCTAAAAATACTATTTGCTTTTTATTTAACACTGAACTTTCAATGTTGTAGAGTACAAAAATAGTGTCTTATTATTTTAAAAGCTTAGGAGGGAAACTGGCCACATTATTAGAAGAAGAAGATATATGCAGCTATCGCCTGTTCAAATGTCAGAGGTGCGACTTTTCAAACTCACATTTCAATCTTTATTTACATTAGACTTTTAGAAATAGCGGGTGTAAATATTAAATCTCCCAAGCCTGGGTGAAATTTTATTGAAAATAACTACAAATAAAGAGGAACTGATTTTTTAAAGTCGGTTTCTGAAATTTAGATGAAAAAGAATATCAAGCATTAACAAAAAGTGATATATTTACATATCAATATAGGTCTTCTGCTCACAGACTCATTTCCTACGAAACAGAACAGAGGCTCGGGGAGCCACACAGGGAGGAAAAGCCCTCACCAAACAGGTACCGCTGTGCAAACAGGCTGCACCGGCCCAAAGGATCCAATCGGTTGCTCGAGCCAAATTTGTTTCCTGCAAGGCACTCGTGCCAGAACGCAGCCTCTGAGAGCGCGCAGGCCCACGCCCAGCCCTGGCGTGCGCGCCCCACGGGCCGGGTGGGAGAGGCACGTCCCGCAGCCACGGGAAAGACAGGAGTCAGCAGCAGCAACGCAGCGGCCCAGGGTGGGGCCCGCTTCTCACAGTGAACGCTGCTGTGCGCGGCTGGGTAGGTCGGCCGTCCCGGGAGCCGGCCTGAACGAGTAGGTCCAGGTGGGGCGTCTTTGGCCCCCGCCCCGCGCTGAGCTCCAGGACCGGCGCACATCTTCCTGGAGAGGCGCGCGCGGAAGCCGCGCGCGCCTCCCCGGGGTGACAGGCGGCGCTGTTTCCACACCTGTCGAAGGGCTTCTGACGGCCAGGGGTTCGCGGGGGCGACAACTGACCCCGTTTCAGTCCCTGGTCTAAGACGCCATTGCTGTGGCTGTAAAACACAGTCCTGCCATGTGTCGACTGGGGATCTAACTTGCTGACTCCATCTTTTGCTTACCAAAAACAGAACAATACAGTTGCCCTAAAAATCTTTAGGGGGCAACAGCAGAGATACACAGACACGCACCCCCCCCCCCACGCTCCTGGTTTCCATGTGGACATTAAACACAATTCCATTTTATGGCAATATTAAGATTCCAAATTTTAAATTGAAAACCCCAAGAATTACGGAGGTTATCAAAGATATATTAACTTGTTCTTAGAATAAGCTCAAAATTAATAACAGAGGCATTATTATGCTAATGCACGCCCGCCCTCCTCCCCGCTGCCTAGGCGGGAGGCGTAGAGCCTGGCCCAGGCAGCCTTAGACCCCCCTCCATCGGCATTAACGGTGCGAATGCTGCGTTTCTCCCGAAATCTGAGGTTTACGGGAAGTTTATGGAAGAGGGAAGAAAAGCTTAAACAGAGATAAGCAAAAACAACATCGATTCCCATCTGGACAATTAAATGAGGGCGGCCTCTCCCCCGCGTCCTGCCAAGATTCTGTGTTCACCGTGTCTGGTGGCCCGCTCCCTTCCCCAAATCCCACTTTTAAAAATTTTTTTAAATGTATTTGCAATTTCTATTTCCAACTTGAAGCTGGAAACAAATTAGCTTGCACCCCAGAAGAATGCTAGGTAAAGCTTAAATCAATCTGCACCACTTTATTTACACCCCTCAGACCTCAGAAACGTAATTGCCGTTTTTATTAACTTTGTTTTATGGATCTAATATTTAAGAACAAGTCTATGCTTTACAGGACAGGAGAAGGTTAAGGCACTTACAGACTCCCCTGCAATACATCTCGGGCAGGGCTGGGCTGCACTCCTTCCACCGCTCGGGGGGATCTAGTTAACAAATCACAGCCGCAGATGTATCAGAACAACGGTTATTGGCACTTTGTATTAAAATATTTAAGTGGGTTCCCGGCTGGTGTGGCAAGAACAGGAACCTACCCCTGCGCTCGGTGGCCCCGGGCCGCCGTCCAGCCTGGGTGCGGGCAGGCGGCCTCGGGCGGGCGCCTCTGGCTCCTCGCCGCCCTGGGACCCCCGGGCGCCGGCCGGCGTTGGGGGGCAGCCCCGCTGCTGCACAGCTGCGTCCACGCTCCTGCAGGGCCGCTTCTGGAACAGACAGAGCTTCGCTTGAGACGGCCCTGCACACCACACAGCACTCTAATTAAATCTGCTTTCTGCAAACTTCAGCTGCAAACGCAGACCCCTGTGGAGTGGGAAGAGTTTATAGGACATTTGAGGAGACGACTTTAAACCTCATCTTCAGGAATAACCACCATCAATTACATTTAACCTCATTATTTCCTGGATTGTCTGATATTTCCTTAGCTTTATAGATTTAAAATAGTCATTTTTAACAATTTGGGCAGAAACTCTTGCAATAAACTATTGTGACTGGTTTATTGATATTGAAAATGTACAAAACCTATAAATTTTGTTCAAGAAGCTAGCTCTATGCTTCAACACATCCTGCCTAGTATTTAGTGGCACGCTTTCTCGGCACAACAGGAGAAGTCCACGTGCAAATAATTCTTCTTAGAGACGCTGAAGGCCAGTTAACTTTATCCTGAGAGCTGTGCACATGGCCGTGATGACAGCCTCCAGGGCAGTCGGCGTTCCGTTTCCGCTTCCCCCAAAGGCAAGGCACGTTGCCAGCGCAATCCCGAAAGCTAAAGGGAACTCGCTCTTCCCCAAGCGCCAAGACCGAGTGCCTTGCGGGCCCCCCACCCTCGCTGGTAGAGTGGGACGTTGGGGCCCGGCCCGGCCCAGCAGTTCCTCGGCGCCCCGGCTGCCTGCAGGTGCCCCGCCCACGATACCCGTGGCTGCAGCTTCCTCGGTTACTGGGAAACTGCCATCATGACTTGTGCCAAGTTACTTATTATCCGTACTGTTATTTGTTATTTTCTAAATCGACGCCTTTCCGTTTATTGGATTTATTCAGCATAGGAACTTTCTAGCATAGGCTGAGCCTGCTAGCGCCGCAGTTCTCCGACGTGCCTTAGAACAGGCACCTAGAGGTGAAAATGAAAAACAGCAGGCTCCAAGCCCCTCCAGCCCCTTAGAACGATTTCTCGGCACAGGCGCTTGACCCCCCAGGTGGCGGGAGACAGGGGCGGCTACCCAGCCACCCGCCTCCCACAGCCCTTCCCAAAGGCAGGGCTCAAGGACAGGGAAGCTCTCAAAATCCACACAAACCACACCCTGAACAAAGCTTAACGGTGGAGACCCCCAAAACCTGAAAACGAGGCTGGTTAAAGAGAAACGCGGCCAATCAGAGTGTGGGTCCCGAGGCCCCCAGCCCACACCTGCCGGCCGGGCTCTGTGGTGAGCGAGAGCAGACGGGAACAGGGACGGCTGGAGGAGGGACACCAGCAGAGGGGTGAGAGCCACCCACCACAGCCACAAAAAGGTGAAGACAGCAGTGCGCGGGCCGGAGCACGTGCAGGGGAGGGCGGCGCCCTCGCGCAGCGCAGAGGAGCGGCACCAGCGCCTCCTTCACAAGGGGACGGGCCAGGCAGGTGAGTGCCCTCCAGCCTGGGAGGCGGAGGCGCAGAGAAATAAAGAGGGAGGGTTTCGGGCCCTGCCCGTGAAGAGGGCCAGGCCAGCAGGAGGGTCAGCCCCCCAGGCACACGCACGCAGCGGCCGCGGCACCCGGACGGGCCCGGGGCCGGAAGCGGGTCCCCAGACCAGCGGCCTCTCAGGACCGCCAATACCTCACACACTCACTCCTGACAACAATCACAGTTAAAAGGGGGTAGTGCAACGCCCTTCACTCAGCACGCTCACGCAGACCGCTGAGGATATGAGAATCCCCTTGAGTAGAAACGCAAAATTAAAGGCGGAAAGGGACAGAAACAGGAAGAGCGAGCTGAATGAACTCAGGGAAGTAATGGAAGGAGAAAACGAAATGACATCACAAACAAAGAGCAAATTATAAAGTGCCTGAGGAGAATAAATTCAAATGAAAGTCAACACGGGGCACTGGGGAAAGACAGGAACACAAGCAAGAGGATGAAAATGACGTAAAAAAGGGCCAAGGAGGCCAAACGCACGGCGAGGAAGGAAAGGAGGCTGGGCTGGGGGCACGCAGCGAGCGCACGGAGCTGGTCAGGAGGGCGCAGAGATCCACACAACGGGGGCAGCCGGCGGCGTCCCAGTAGAGGCCAGACGTGCCAAGACGGGCTTCCTGTCAGCTCCCACCCGTCCTGCGCCCGGCCACAGCTCCCCGAGGGCCGCGGCGGCGCGGGGGGGGGCCCGCCCTTTCTGAGCAGCCTTGGGCTTGTGGGTAGGAAAGCCCAGCAAGGCTGGGGGGCGTCTGACGAAGCCTCAGCACCTGGGGCGACATTCGGAACATTTTCTGTGTGGGGCCACCTCACACCAGGCACGTCAAGGTCAGCAGACCTGGGATTATCCACGGTGACAAGCCAACGTTCTTCACGTGGCTCAGGTGGCCGCGGAGGTCATGTCCCCGCCTGCAGTGGCAGGGAAAGGACCGATGGAACCCAGGGTGCTAGACGAAGGCTGGGCTCCCCGAGGGCCGGGGGGATCCCGGACGTGTGGCCCTCGGACAGCTGAGTGGCCGGAACCACCCCGCTCTCGGCCTTTGCCATGGCTCGCTGGGAGCCGACCGCACAACGCTGACCTGGACCATCACACCTACGCTGCGCGGCGGCCAGTCATCGCAGTGGGCGTGGGCCTGGGCCGCAGGGGAAGGGAGGCCACCAAGCCCCCGCTCCGGGAGCCCGGGGCCCACACCCCCTCCCGCCCCATCCCACCCCGCCCCCACCTGCCCTCCTGGCAGGGTGCCATCAGCCGCCCCAAGGCGGCGGAGACACGCCTCTGAGGATGAGGACTCTCGCACTGGGCGTAAGCAAAACTGAAACCCCGCGCATGCACAGGCCCAACACTTGATCCATCGCCCAGCAGCCTTGCCAGAGAACAGAAACAGGAACATGACTAAGAGAAGACACTTGATAAGACGGATAAATTAAAATACAGCCCTGGCTGGGGTGGCTTAGCGGCTTGAGCGCCGGCCTGTGCACCAGTGTCGCTGGTTCAATTCCCGGTCGGGGCACAGGCCTGGGTTGCGGGCCAGGTCCCCAGTAAGGGGCAGTCGAGAGGCAACCACACATGGATGTTTCTCTCCCTCTCTCCCTCCCTTCCGTTTTCTCTAAAAATAAACATATAAATAAATCTTTTAAAAAATATATAACACATGTGTCCTGCTGCCGCTGTGAGGGAGCAAAGTGGGCAGGTCTGGGACAGACCCATCATCCTCTCATGGAGGACAAGATGGGGCTCTTTGGTTGGAAGTGCTGGGCCCTGGGAGCGGATGGGGCAGATGGGGCAGATGGAGGGGAGGGGGTGGAGGGTGGGAAGTGGGGGTGTGGGGCGGGGGGTCGTGAGGAGCACTGCTAAAGGCTTCACAGGAATGATATTCGAGGCCTCAGCCCCATGCTGGTGAGAGTGAGCCCTCACGGCAACCAGACTGGGACGCTGTCCCCACGCACCTGGGGGCTCTGGGGGCCGAGGAACAGAGCAAGGCCCGGAGTGCACAGCGTGCAGGCGGCGCGCCGCCCTCGGAAGCCCGGCCCTCTGCTCCGCACAGCATGGAGCGCGGGGACAGAGAGGAGAGGCGCCGGCTTCCTCGAACGCGCAGAGCTCCGTGTTTTCTTCAACCAGCCCAGCGAGGAAACGCCACATTCTCAAAGATTGAGCACTTGAATGAAGCGTATATAACATCTATGCTAATGCATGGGCTAAGCACACATGCCGTGAATTAGAATACCAGCGTGAATCATTAGAACTCGGTCATGTAATTAACAGCGTCTCTCTACACACACTCACACACGCATCTAATCTTTCAGTTTGAAGGTATTTTGAGGATTTTTACTGACTAATAGCCTTTATTCGGAGACCATTTGTATTATAAATGTGTAATGCTGGTTAATGGAATCCTCGTTTCGAGACAGTCTGCTGAGTGAGGTTTCCTAGTTGACTCTGGCTTTAATCCCACTGCAGGAAAGAAAGCGGACTCTTGCCGACGGGGCGCAGCCGACGGACGCCATCGGTCCCGAACACACACCATCAGAGCTGAGGAGGGGTCGCAGGGCCCTGCAGGCTGCCGCTTACAGGGAGCGCAGGGTTCCATCAAGCAAAGGTTCCTCCTCAGTGACATTTTCATCTGGGAAACGGCCTTGCACTTGGGAGGCTCATTCTACTGCACAGTGAACCCTGGCACGTGTCAATGACAGGAAGGTCAGGGATTAGGACTCCCGCTGTGCACCCCCACGCTCCCAGGGCAGAGAGGACATGGCCCGAAGGGGTCCAGCTGCGGCCCTGTCTTCAGGCCCCTCAGCGGCCTGTGCATACCCACATTCTTGACCCGCCGTGCTTGGCAGAGAGGCCGCCACTTGCGAGCAGACATGCCAGGCAAGTGGCGGCAACGAGGCGGAGGGTCAGGAGGGAGCGGAGAACCGGCGCCCTGGGAGAGGACAGCAGACAAGGGCCAAGAACCACTTCTATTTCCAGCTAAAACAGGAAGGCACACAAGCACACACTCGGCTTCCTGGGGAGCCGTTTTCGGCTTGCTCTATTCACCACGCAGCCTCCAAGTTATATTCCTGACTGAAATCAAGGGCCCTACGAAGAGCGGGCACGGGAGTTCACTCACAACAGGTGGAACCTGATACACACCTCTTCCCATCATAAAAAGCTACAGTTTCTACATACTGGTTTTTTTGGATCCTCCTGAGGATACTGATTTTAGAGAGAGAGGAAGGGAGAGGGCTAGAGAGAGGGAGACAGAAAGATTGACCGGCTGCCTCCTATACGCAGGCTGACCAGGGATCGAACCTGCAACCTAGATATGTGCCCTGACCGGGAATTGAACCCGCAGACTTTTGGTGTATAGGATGATGCTCCAACCGAGCCACCTGGCCAGGGCACACATCCTTCTATTTTATTTCTAAAGGGCAGTGACAATGTACGGAAAGAAATTACAACAGAGTAAAT